CGCCGGCCACGGCCTCTTCAGTCTGCCGGTGCCCTCGCTGCTAGGCTCGGTCGCCAGCCGCCTGTCCTCCGCCCCATTGACAATGGCTGGTTCGCTAGCCGGAAATTTGCAAGAACTCTCCGCGCGATATCTGAGCTCCTCGGCCTTCGAACCTTACTCCCGGACCAACAATAAAGAAGGGGCCGAGAAAAAAGCGCTGGACTGATTTTAAGTGTTTCCCTGTATTTATATTTATAGTATCTATTGTGGTGATTATTTATGGACTCTAGCGCGTTAGGCGCCCAGGGCTCCTGCGCAGGCCTCCTGGCTCCCACCAGGCCTCTGACAGCTCATCTATCCCACGGGCTCTGCGACCAATTTCATCTCACTTAGGCTATTTTCCCCCTCTACCTTTCCTTCCTGTTCCCGCCCCTCAAACTTCTTTCTGAATCCTGGAGTGATCCAAAGAATTGGGGGAAATGCCCGAATTAGCCAACCAATGCCCCGCCCTGGAGGGAAGAGACTGGTTTTCAGTCCACGGCACAGAACACCTGGTCTAGATCGGGCCTCCGAGCGAATTATTCCTATGAATATTTGAAAGAGGAATTCTGCACGCAAATGAAGAAGCTTGCAGGTTTCTTAAGACCAAAAAGGAGGACAACTCCTTCCTCTTGCCAGAGAAATTAGGGCTTTTGGAAGTCCTTGGGCCCCACTTTGCAGACCTCTTTGGATAGTCGGTGCACACTCAGCTTCCTGGCGAGACACATCCCGCTGAGTTTTCTCCCCTTTAGGAAAACTCCAATCACGGTCTCCCTTAACCCCAGGAAACAATAAATAGAGCATCATAGTAGGCATGGTGGTAATAAATTTAATCTAATCAGCAATAAAGAGTAATTACTACGTAAAACCAGATGAAGTGGAACCAGTTTTTAAATACTGATAATAATGGCATTTGGCAGGGGTAAGAAAATTCAGGACAGGAAATGCGCCATGGGGCAATGCAAAATTAAAGTTCCCAGTGTTGTGATTTTAAACAAAAATTTTGGGGCGGGGGGAAGCAAAAGAAAAGTAAACGCCGCTTAATGAAAGAAAATTTCGAATCTTTTCTCCCAGGCTGTTCCGGGCGGTGGCCGATAGCTTTCCGCTCCTCTGGGAGAGAGCAGTAGCCGGGTCTCCTGCTCTTCGTCCCACCGTCCCCCAGACGCTGGCTCAGGGCAGAATTGCTGGGTTTGGAAACGAATCTACACCCATTGCCTCCTTTCCCAGATTCTTGGGTTCACAAAACCTTTCAATCCAGGAAACTCCTGGATCTCAGAGCAGATTTTGCAGAAGAGGAGGTAGGGACGCAGCCAAGATCGCCGGGAGGTCTGGCCTCTGTCGCTTGTCTCCTTGTCCAGAAGGCTCCCTGGCGTGGCTGAGAGGAAAGGTATCCCCTCCCGCACCCTAACCCCAGGGCTTCAGTGGTCCCAAGTCAGCACCGCGACCGCCAGGCGCTGGCGCGGCCTCACCCCTCGCAGCAGCGACAGTCCCCACAGTCACAGCCACCCGCATTTTAACCAAAATCACAGACCCAGACCGCGAGTTGCTGCAGTGTCTAGAATGTATTCATCTATCCGAAGCGAACGCAAAACATTTTAAAAATAGTAACTTTATTGTAAATTATTTACGTCGGAAGCTCCCCACCACCACCACCCTTTTTCTTTCTTTCTTTCTTCCTTTTCTTTTCCCCCCTTAGGCAAATAGTGGAGAAAATAATGAACGTTTCAAACGCGGGTAGGTGTCACTGAATCCTGGCTACTAACTTTGTTCTGAATGTTTTGGATATTTGGATGTTTTGTATTTATGTGGTGAGAGTGAAATATATATATCTATGACGATAAATAAGGTGTATTTTTTGTCTTATATTTGAAAGATAAAAACAAAAACAAAAAAAAGAAAGAAGATGAAAAAGAAGACCCAATTATGAGTCTCTGTGTAGGGACTCCAAAGGCCGAGGGTGGCAGCCCCTGCAGAACAGGGGCCCTGCGACTGGTACCCTGAACTCCTGGCATGAGGTCTGGGGAGCATTTGGGTTCCCAGGCAGTCAGAGACGCCTGACTACAGAGGACCTGGTCCACTTATTTGATCGTCTTGCTCTTGGCTTCTATTTGTTTCTATGGCGTGGGTCCCTTGGATTCTATCCCCTCTATCCCCCACAAGTTTCTTGGTTTATTTAGGAACTTGTCTTGGGGCAATCAAAAGTTCCTGCCTCCTAACACTGTCAGTTTCTAGAGTTTTCCAATTGCATGTGCATTTGGACTTTTGTGCAGTTATGAGGGGGACAGGCTAAATGTTCTTTTCTTCTGACTTAGAAAAAGACTGTCTGCCATCAAAGAGAAACTTTGAGAAAGAAGGATACTGAAATAGATATTAATTCCTGCAAGAAGACCTCTCCCTCCATTTGGTCCTAGGACATAAGCGCTGATGCTGGATGTAGACAGAAATCTGGGGAAGCTAGTGTGGACCGCCCCGGGTGCAGCGCCAGGAACCCAATACAGAAACCCAGCTCTGGACCTAGCTTGTGGCATCTGCATATCTGGGTGCATCTGCCAGCACCCCCACTTTGGTGTATCCAAAAGGAGGTTGTGGCACAGTGTGGCCAGTGAAATCCTTCAATGGGACTGGGATGCTGCTGGTTTGGGTTTTGGCTTTGAGCTGGCAGTTTTGCTGAACTCAGAGCAGCCATTTCCGGAGTGTTCACTTTTGTTTGCTGCTCTTGGATCTTCCTCTCTTTCCTCTTTTCTCTCTTGAAGATGATTCTCATTTCTACTCTTTCTACTCCTCTCCTGTAGACCCCTTTCCTTCCTCTCTAGTGGTCTGTCTCCCCCCTCCTCCTTGCTTCTCTCCAGTGTCTCTGAGCGTTCTCTCTCTCTCTCTCTCTCTCTCTCTCTCTCACACACACACACACACACACACACACACACCCCCTTTTGGATTCTTCCTTCTCCTCCCCTGGTTGCCACAGGGCCAAGGCAGTGGGTGGCTCTGGCTGCATTTTCAAGGTTGGTGACTGGGGTCCCCCAGTGGTGAGAAAGGAGGGAGAAGATGGTATAATTTTATGGAACAAAAGAAAAACAAAATCAAGCTTTGGGTCCCCAACCAGCTCAGCCTTCTCTCTTAGGAGCCTGAATCTGAGACCTTTCTAAGCAGATCTGTCTTTCCACCTCTCCCATTTCGCCTTGTCTTTCTTATCCCTAAAAGGGGAGTGCCCATCACCTGTCACCTCTCTGTGCACACCTCCCTTCCCTAGCTGGCTTTGGGCAGAACTGCTGAGCTCTTCATCTGCCATTCAGAAAGAGCAATTGTTCTTAAAGAGCCTCTTATGCTCAGAAAAATAATCACAATTTTAATTAAAAAAACATTTGTAGACAATTCATTTAATTTTAGTACCTGACTTGTTTTGCCTCCTCCCCTAAAGGCGCCCAGAAAGCTGCCTTGGTGAGGTTGCTGGCCTCTAACTGGACACTCACAGGGCAAGGAAGAGGCAAAGGCTTCCAAAGGCTCTGCCTGGGAGGTGGGGGGGGGTGGAGCTAAAAGGAATCTCTACTCAGGCTCACACAAAGCAACATCCAAGTTGTTTCAGAGCAGAGAAGGAAAGAAATCCTCTCACTAACCCCTGTGTGTTGGTGATCAGGTGGGAAAGATGTGGGAATCACTTGAGGAGCTAAGCTGGGGCACTTGCTCATATCCACGCTTGCAGTTGTCCTAACCTTGGGTCAGAATGTATTCCTATTAAATAACATTTAGCAGCTGTCTGTGGTTTACAAATCGCATTTCATGTAGACCATTCTTTTATTCCTAATGGTGGCTTTTGGAAGTCCAACCCCATTTTGAAGATTCACATACAGGATTGGAGCAAATGGTTTGCTCAAAATCACATGGTAATTCCCAGGCACAAGATCATGAGTTCTCTGTAGGTCCAGGTTCTTCCTGTTTGGGATTCTTTCTCCCTCTCTCCTTCTCTTCCCCTATTCCCTCCCTCCATCTGTCCCTTCCTCCCTCCTCCTTCCTTCCCTCCCTGTCCATGCTGTCTCATTCATCCCACCTTTAACTTTTCTGCATCCATATCTGCTAACTCCCATTTCCCAGTCTCTTTCTTCTGTGACAGCTGCTGAGTTTCACCTGGTGCCTTTATCAAGGCATGTGAATTTCTCCTGGCCAGTCTCCCACCTTGCTTCTTCACTTCCCTCAGGAACAGCTTCTTTAAACCTCTTAACCTCTTTGATCTTATACTTCCTTTAAAATAAACAAACAAACAAAAACCTTTTTCAAAAAAGTTGAGGTACAACATCCTTGCTGTAAGCTCCCTGTGATAAAGTACATGAAACATAAGCATACAAGTTGATGAATCTTCACACACATACACACTTGTTCAATGAATTCCTTTAAGCTTCTTCTACATGATGACACAGTGTCTTTTTCCGGTTTTGAAAGAGGTGGCATCTTACTGGTAGGCTGTTGTTCCGTAGAAAACCTTTTCCAAAAGTTTAAAAATCATGTCTCTTCCAATCCCCTGACATATTGAATTTAAGTAACTTAACTTAAATAGCTGATCAGAGGTTAAAAATTGCTAGAAGCTTTCTGAAGATTTAACCTGAAGACCAACTGCTTCAGAATCATCTGAAAACAGGTTAAAAGGCAGATTCCTAAGCTTCAACTCCACTCGAGGAATCACAAGCTCTGGATTGAACTCAGAAATGTGCATTTTAAACAAGTTTCAAAGTGATTGTCATTGCACTAACAATTGAGAACCAGTGTATAAATGACAAGTCCCCAAACAGCAGCCTGCAGCCTCCAGCCTCTAGCCCAGGGCCTGGCATTTGGTAGCAATACAACAAATGCTTGTTGAACAAATTAATTCACTTTTCTGACATGGTTTGAGTTTCTTGGACCACGTCATACTATTGTAATTTAACACCACTTTTTACATTGGGAAATTCTTACATTTGGGAGTTTTGTTTTTTTTTTAAACTGGAATATTTTTCATCTTGATGGAGCAGGAGAGGAAAGAGGGATCAACTTTGGTGGTTTCTCAGGTTTCAGGCGTCTTTTATAAATCTAACTTTGACCACTTTGCTGGGGAGGCTGCTTCCCTCCAGAGCTGGTGGTTTGGAAAGGGGGTGAGTCTACAGGTTTGCTGAAAGGCACTCAGACGCACCCCTCTTTTTGTTGGAAACTGACATGGAG